CCCCCAAAACCCCAAAACCCCATTATTCAAATTAAGTGATTACTTAAAGAAACGATTTATTTTAGAAAAATAAATATAAATCTTAGTATTATAATACATTTATTATAGTTAGAAATGGATTAATAAGCATCAGTAAAATAAAAAAGAAGGAACATAATGGCATTGGGTAGTTTAAAAAAGCATGAAATTGATGTCAAAAAAAATTTGAGGAATTTAGAAAATAGAAATAAATCTCTGAACTTATCTTACCAAGAAAGTCCAAATAAAAAAGTGCATCACTCTAAAAGATTAGCATTATTTGCCAAATAAAAATTAAATGAGCTACTAGAAATCAAGGATGGATTCAATCAAGATTACACCTCCTTTATTAAAGACAGCAACTAATAGAGCCAAATGATGAACAGGAATGGATTAATGAAAGATACGCAGAATTCATTTTAGGAGAAAAAGAAACTCAATATTTCAAATTCATAAATGAAACTCTAAATCTTACAGTAGAATATAAAAAATGGTTTTGTATCTGAAGAATAAATTAAAAATAGAAGTAGACCTTAAACATCAATGGCATCTAGATTCCTTTTAACTACTGCAAAATCTTAAATATAAAATTAAGATAGAAGTTTTCAAGGCACAGCTCAGAAAGGAGAATACAAGAATCTGATGAATGAAAGGTTAAGCACAAATAAAGTTCCAACTTAAAATCCTAACGAAGAATTCTCTAGATTACATTCATAAATAATGTCTGATAGTTCTATTTTATAATACCAAACACAATCTATGCTTATTAGTAACAACGAATCTAGAATTTAGAAATTAAAAGACCTTATTAGCAGACAAAACACTAACACTCTTAATTAAAATAGAGCAAGTTTTGTAGAATAGCAGCTAGACCAAAAAATGAAATAAGTCTTTAATGCTGAGGACAGAGTTGTTGTTAATGTAAATACTAACGGTTACAAAAGAAAATATTAAATTGACTAGCATTCATTAACAAAGCAATCTACGATAACAAAGCATGAGGATTTATCCTAGTTGATTTAAAACCCAGAGAGCTCAATCATGTCTAAGCAATCTAGTCCTAATCTAAGGAACATGATTAGTAAAAAACATTACCATAGCTCTTTACTGGGAAGCAAAGAATAACTTCGATCGATTAGCGCCATTGCCAACAAAAGATAAAGAAGAAAAAACTCTGACATAAAAGATTTTTACATTACTGGAATAATTGATTCGGGACTCCCTGATAGAATTCATGTTAGAAAAGAATCTGATTCAGAATCTGAGGATGAAAAAGAATTAAGGCTGAAAAACTAAGAAAGATTGAATGACCTGAAATACTAAGTCTAGGTGAATTTGAATCAAGAATATAAAAGACACAAGCTAGCTCTTGGGTCTTTGAAAATGCTAAGGGACCTTCAACTTGAATGGGACATTGCTTTTTGTAAAATCCTAAATAATTTATATCTTATATAGATAGAGTGTTTCAAGATAGTAATGAACTAAATGAGAATGATTTAGAGACACAGCTTATGTATTAGGAAAAATATTCGCCTAAGAAATTAATTGCTAGGGATATTAGCTTGAAAGAATTTTCTATAAACCCTTCGTAATAGATAATCTAAGAAAGTACTATAGAGGATGATACAATCCCACACAAAACAGTACTTAAATTTATGAATTAGAAAGAGATGTCTTTATATTTTGAAATTTCAGATTAACTAACTAAAAAGGTAATTATTCTAATTTTTAATTTATTTAGCTTGAAAGTAGAGGAGACATTAAAGCATTTGATAAACTTGAATTTATAAGGGAAATGAAAGATATTGCTAAGGTATCAAGAGATTTCTTATCTTTTTTAAGAGATTAAGACACTCATAAAAATGTTGAAGGAATTTAAGAAAATAATTAAAATAGAGGATTGATAAGAGCATACCTATTCGATAGTCTATGGAAGAATTTAATGATGACAATTGATGACACAATCAACCATGTAGAAACTACAGCTACTGATAGAGCTTAAAAGGCTTTGAAGAAGTTCTAGGTAAGTAATTTCCTAAATAATTTACATAAATGAATAGGGGGATCAAAAGTAATAGCAAAGCATAATTGATGATTTGAAATTGTAAATGATTTAATTGAAGGCATCCCAAAAGATTCAGCTTGATATCATCAATGCCAAAATGAATAGATTAGCTTAGGAGCGAGACAATTGTTTAAGGGCTATATAGGATTATAGAGATGAGGTTGGCTAATTAACGAATTTTAACCAAAGAGATAGAGCACTAGGAGAAATGAAGGAAGCCTATAACCAAATATCAGACCTCATAAATTAAAGCGAGAATGAAAGAAGCAAGCAAATGACTACAATATCGTAATTTCTGGGAATGCTTGAGATCGGTTCAAAGAGCAATAAAAAGCTAGAATAAGAGATTTAAACTGATCTATCTTTGATAGGAGGTTAAGAGAGAGGCATTATTACATAACTTGATGCTGCTAAACTTTAAAATCTTGGAAAAAACTCTATTACAAGATTCATTGACACTTAAGCCAAATTAAAAGATTCAACTTTAGACGATGTTGTCAAATAACTAAATTACATACTAACAGAAAAAGCTCGAAAAGATTTGATTGATAAGAAGCAGAACAAGAGAATAACAAATATAGTTGATTTTGCATGTGGTGTAACACTTACAAATTCGAATTCATATAAAGGATCAAAGCAATAGCTTTATTCATACATTCAAAAATTAAATGAGTTGCCAGAAATGAATTTTGTTATAGGCAGAGTTCTTGGAGTTAATAGCTTTTAAAAGTTAAGCGATGGCTTAATTGACGCTTTTCTCCAACATCGACTTCTGTTTATTGATAAGGTCGAAGCTCCTTAGAATAGTGCTTCTTAATTAATTCTAAATGGAAATGGTTAAGTTGATTACAAGGGAATTATTGATTTTATCTTAGATTAGTATAGCTTTGTAATTATTAAGCTCTTTATTAACGTTTTTAGAATAATCGATTTTGTGAACTTATATTGGAGAATCTATATCTAGGAAATAAAGATGAGCATCCGACAATAAAAGGATATTTGAAAATGTAATTAATTATAGTCTTATTAATTTAGAAACACAATTGTTGATATAACTCATTTGAAGATTCCTTAGGGCATATCAGAATCTTCCTTAATAAAAATGCAAAGTGAGATGACACCAGCATACTTTTAGTAGCTTACTTTCATTCTTTTATCACTCCATTTATAACTTGAACTTAAAAATCGATCCTTGAGACCCCTATTTGAATTACACGATACTATGAAAGAAGGGAAATTATCCATAGAGTAATTTATATCCATTCTAACAGAAAATTCTAATGGAAATGGCTTAGATTTAATTCTAAGTAAGAACTCAATTAATATTCTTGTGAAATTATTGGATCCATTTGATAATAGAGATCAAGATTTAGAATATGCTCTTGATTACACTCAAATTTTATTCTATTTAGAAAAACAGTCTACTAAAGATTTAGCTAAAAATTCAAGAATTCCTACATTAAGTTATGTTTAGGCCTTGTTGATTGCTTTCTAGACATTTATTTATGATGTGACTCCAATAAGAATAGAGGCTTATTTCTAAAAAAATAGTCTTATAGATTCACATGATGATTATGAATAATATTTAATGGGAATGAAGCGATTTTATTCCAATTTTGACTCAGTTAGAATAAGTAATATACAGATCAGATATTATCACAACAAAAATTTAAAATTATAATACCCACTTGGTATGGCCATTATAGAGGAAGTGGAAAATGACTTAATACAGGAAGTCATACTTCAAAACCAAAATATAACTAATATTTGAATTCTATTTAATACTATAGAGGAATATGAATTGATAATGATTATTTATTTTGATTAGTTTTTTTTGAAATGAACGAATTGTTTTTGCGGGGTTTTGGGGTTTTGGGGTTTTGGGGTTTTGGGG